TTATTAATAATATATATCCTGCCTTTCTCTCAGTAATGACACTCAAGCTAGTTAATATCATATATAAAACAATTCCAATTAAAACTATGCAAAACATTCCGACTTAAAAAAAAAATGGCCGCCGGAACGGGTAAAGGAGGTTATCACATCATGATTAAAAAGTCTTACCTGAGCTGGCTTAAAATTAGAAGTGGGTGGCATCTGATAGTATCAGATGCATTCAGCTGCCAAAATCGCTACCCAGGCGCAGCCCAGCTCCATCACTGCTCCAAGGGGCACTCCTTGCATCTTTTTTCAAAGCAGGGAGTTTTCTGGATTGAAAAAATGGGCATCAGAGCACCGCTCTGAGTGGCGATGGAGCCGGGCTGTACCTGGGCAGCGATTTTGGCAGCTAAATGTGTCTGATACTATCAGGATGCTGCCTGCTTCTAATCTTAAGCCAGCTCAGTAAGATGCACTGTAGAAATAATGGAGTTTGACATCACTTTAACTAGCATGGATCCATGCAACACAACCCTGAGATTTTTAGTTTTGTGAGGCACCAGCACTCTTTGTCAAAGAAGGCTAAAGAGGTTCCAGAATTCCATAGGTTAGAGTGACCGTTCTTGAAGGACGTTATCACACGCGGGGTCTCAAAGCGGCAAGAAAGCGGCATGGAATCGATCCAGAACCATACTGGAATGGACCCCACAAGAAAGCAGCATCATTCCGGTATGATTCTTGATTGATTCTGGTCGCGACAAGTGTAATTCCTTTTTCAAAAAGGAATTGAAAAGAACGGGGATGATGCCGCAATGCGCCGGGGATGGGATGGGATGGGGTGGTGTTTGCTGCAACGTTGTGTGAACACACGAAAAAAGGATCCAGAATGATGCCGCAATGTGCCGGGGATGGCACTGGATGGGGTGGGGTTTGCTGCGACGTAGTGTGAACACACGAATAAAGGATCCGGAATGATGCCGCAGTGTGCCGGGGATGGCACTGGATGGGGCGGGGTTTGCTGCGACGTCATGTGAACACAGAGGCAAAGGATCCAGAGTGATGCCGCAATGCGCTGGGGATGGCACTGCTTTAGACCCCATGTGATAACGTCCAAAGTGGTGTCAAACAACATTATTTCTACAGTGTAGATGCATCCACCTTCCTTCCTTCCTTCCTTCCTTCCTTCCTTCCTTCCTTCCTTCCTTCCTTCCTTCTGTTTTACTTTGCTTTTCTCCCTATACAGATAGTTCCTCCATAATTTCTATTTCTGTTACCTAATAGATTCCTTTAATTCCTTTCTCTGTTGTTGTTGTTTGCTTTCAAGTCATTTTTGGCTTATGGTGACCCAAAGGCAAACCTATTGGTGGGTTTTCTTGTCAAGATTTGTTCAGAAGAGTTTTGCCACTGCCTTCCCCTGAGGCTGAGAGCATGTGACTTTCCCAAGGTTACCCAGTGGGCTTCATGACTGAGTTAGCAATTGAACCCTGGTCTCCAGAGTTGCAATCTCACACTTAAAGCACTACACCACACTGGATCTCATCTCCTTTCTCTGTTGTCAGTCATACTGTCACTGTCACTTGATGCTAGAAGCAACCAGTCAAGGTGTGCTGCCCCTGGGCTTGGCACGTTCAATAGGAGCATCACAGGTGTGCTGTTCAAATGGTCCAAAGAGTCATCTACCCAGACATCTTACTTCCATCAGTAACCAATGAGACGGCTACAGCACAATGACAAGCCTCTCAGGGTACCATTTTGTCTCCTATGGTTTTCAGCACCTGCAGGTGCAAAGGCCCTAAAGATTTTAGTACTAGGCTATTTGAAGGACCATACCTTCCCATATGAGCCTACTAGTAGTTTGGAACAGTTTCAGAGTGCATCTACACCAGGAGTAGGCAACCTTTCCCCTTTAAGGGCCAAGGGACTTCAGCTCCCAGAAGCCTCAGCCATGTTGGCCAATAGTCCCATGTTGGCCAATAGCTCCTGGGATTCTGGGAGATGAAGTCCCTCGGCCCTTAAAGGGGAAAGGTTGCCTACCCCTGATCTACACTGTAGAAATAATGCAGTTTGATACCACTTTAAGTGCTGTAACTCCAATGGAGACTTGGGATTTGTTGGCTGTAATAGCATGGGAAAGGGTCATAAAAGTATCCCTTTTGCCAAATGGACTTTTCCAGTGTGGCAAAAGGGACACTTTTACAACCCTCTCCCACATTTTTACAATTGGAAGGGAACAAACATGTTTCAAAGTTGTGCGGAGACAGAGACAGAAACACACTTCTCTCCTCTTGCCTACCAGGTTTGTTTGTAATGCAATAAGGCTCAGGCTATTTAGCCTTCTCTGCCAAAGAGTGCCAGTGCCTCACAAAACTACAAATCCCAGGATTCCAGATGATGGAGCCAGGCTATGTTATGTTATATGAAAGTGATATGTTAAAGCCCTATATTACTGCTATAGATATTCTGTGTGGATCCACCTCTGAGAAACCATGGACCTTATCACACGGGGGTCTCAAATCAGAAGAAAAGCAAAAGAAGAAGCAATCCAGAAGCATTGGGGAATAGACCCCACAATACGGAAATGGCGATCACACGCTATATGAGTAATTGCGCAATTGCCAAATTCGCGAAGAAAGCGCATCCTGGATACGGATTTGCTGTTCACACACAAGTGAGAAGATCCCATCCAGAATTGATGGGGAAATGCTCCAGGATACGTATTTGATGATCAGACGTATTGCGAAAGCGGAGTTAATGCGCAATTAATCCAATCGCGCAAATGCAATACCTGGTAAACCCGAAAGCCAAAAGAACGGGGTTTCCTCTGCATTGGCACTGGGTTGTCTCTGGGTTGCCTGCGACGTCGTGTGAACAGCCGGACAAATAATGCGCAATAGGACTGGGTTTCCTTTGGATTATCTCTGCTTTAGACCCTGTGTGATAAGGTCCCATGAAAGGGCAGCTAACTGTTATATATGTAATTTTATTATTTTTACTGCCAGGCCTGAGAACTCCTGCCTTATGAGTCAAAAGGCCACCTTAAGATATTACAGTGAGGGGGGAAAGGGTATCATTTCCTACTTTGTCTCAGGCAGCAAAATGTCTTGGACTACTGTGTTGTTATGCCCGCAACTGAATCAGTTTAAAATAACTTTTTTAACATTCTTACTTCAAAACTAGTGTTCATTCCCATTTTGATCAATTTCACTCATATTTACAGCTGAATCATTGAAATTAATAGGACTTAAGTCTTAAGCTAAACCATTGGTTTCAATGGATGTGCATGAAATTGAGCCCAGTCCTTTAAAATCTAAAATCTATTTAATTTTCTCTTTGCTACGAACTGAGAGATGGTTTGTTTGTTTTTCTTCTGTTCTGTTTTGTACTGACGCTATTCTGATTTACACTTTATTGCTGTGTTTTGTTGTTCTTATAAGTCACCCCAAAGTTTTGCTATTGGAGGATATGCAAAATTAAAAATAGCCCCTACTGTCAAAAACAAACACTGTAAAAATAGTTCATAGTTCAAGTCAGAGGAGGACTTCCTCTACTCTTGGGGCCACTAATGCTGTTTACTTCCTTGTTTTTATACTGATTTGTTACCCTTTTGATTCATACCATTTCAAACCAATGCATCACTTTGTGTCACCATTTTACCATCCAAACTTTGAATGGAAACTTGTATCTTATTTCCAACATTGTCTTCTAATCATTGTTTCATTACTGTATCAGATTCTAAATGAATTCCTCTCCCTTCATAAGACCAAACTCATTATTTGTTCACCCCAAGGCAGCAAAAAAAAGTTTGCAGCCTTTCCAAAACTTTGCAATGTGATTAATCCCTGATCTATCGATCAACTCTAATCTCTCCTTCTCTGAAAGCTGAAACTTCATGGGTTGATTAAGGTGTTATTTCATCTAAAATTGATGCCAAGGGAGGCAATGAGAAAGAGGTTACAATTATTATTTTTCCTTTTGTTCTATGACAGTACAATTTTAAAATCTCCCTTTCCAGGAGCAAGAGGGTGCTTTCAGTGGCAGCCAGTGGCAGTGAGTCAGTGAATCCACTCTGGCATTTAGTTTGAACTTTAAAGGAGCTATCCAGGTGCTCAGCTTGTTTGTGGGGATAAGGGGTCATCACTTTCAATTGGCTCCTTATGGTTCAAACTAAACCTCTCTGTGAATTCATTGCCCTGCTGACTTACAGCTGCTAGATCTCAGGGCCTGGGCCCGAGTCTCCCATTTTCATGGGTCATCTCCAAATAGGAGATGAGGATGCACATTCTCCAGTTTGGGTGGGCTTTGTTGCAGTAGGGTGACGAGACATCCTACTTTTCCAGGACATGTCTACGTTTCAACCTTCTGTCCAGGAGGAATTCCAAAATGTCCTCCATTTTGAGCCTGACTAAGAAGCATGAATCTATCTTTATGTTAGTGTTTTTTAGCTTTTATTTTATAATGGCCTACATTTTTGTTTAATGTCCTACAGTTTGCAGTGTCTTATCCTTCTTTGTGGTTATGACATCCAGTCACCCTACATTCCAGGCAAGAGAAAAATGTGCACAGATCAGCTAACAGAGCAGCAGTTTTTTGTGTTTTTAATTGTATTGTTTTTAATCTGATCTGAGTCCCAGTTTTGTGAAAAGGGCATAATAATAATAATAATAATAATAATAATAATAATAATAATAATAATAATAATATTACAAGGCTTAATTGACTTTTTACTACAACTTTCTGAGACTCTCTAGGGAATCTGTATTTACTCCATTGATCTACTTCTTCCCTCCAATAGTTCTGGTGACAAAGCTTGCCCTGTTCTGCTCTGCATCCACCTTCTGTCTAGAAGCAACTTTTTGTTGTTATTGTTGTGTGCCTTCAAGTTGCTTCCGACTTATAACAACCCTAAGGCAAACCTATTATGGGGTTTTCTTGGCATGTTTCTGCAGAGGGGGTTTGCCATTGCCATCATTCAAGACTGAAAGAGTGTGACTTGCACAAAGTCACCAAGTGGGTTTATGTGGCTCAGCTGGGATTCGAACCCTGATCTCTAGAGTTGTATTCCAACACTCAAACCACTACACCACTCTGGCTCACTAGAAGCAAGTAGGGTAAATTAAATGGTTCTTATCCTATCTCCCCAAGTGCATGAGAAGGGATAATCCTCTCATTGCAACTTTATCTGGGAATAGCCCCTTAGCTAAGCTTTCTGGCTTAATTTCCAAATAGGAAAATATGGGGGGGGGGTGTGTGTATGAAACTGTGGTTGATACATAGTGCATAATGTTGAATGACATTGTCAGAGGCCATCCCTAGCTCTAAAGTTTTGGCCTGCAAACCTCAGGATCTGGGCAGATCCTGAACTGACAACCCTACTGTTGATACAAAAACCACTAGCCACCATTGGGAGGTATTTTTATTTCAGCTTTCAGGATGAAGCATCCTCCATTTTGAAACACAGGCTCATTCCCACTAGTGGGGACGACATGTAATAAGGACATAATTCACTTCCATAATGGGAACTACACATCGGCCTGAATCGAATCTGTGACTCAATGTCACTGAGAATTGCAAACCTATTTAAATGCTAGTGGGAATGAGCCCTGAATCTATTGAAAAAGGCAAAATTCTTCCCCTCTTCTCCTTCCCCTCTGTTGAGTGCATATTATTTTTGCCCTTTGAACTCAGTTTGCACCGATTTTGAACAGTCCTTCAAAAATCAGCTGCCAGGAGCGGCTGGGGAACAGACCAGGGACTCCCAGCAGCATTGGTAGCATTCTCCCATGCAGTAAAATGCATATTTGCTCCGTTCCGTTCTGTTCCCATTCTTTGAATTACCGTGTGATAAGCTTATAGGTTTCGAATCCTTGCTCAGCCATGGAAACCCATTGGGTGACCTTGGGTGAGTCACATACTCCCAACCTCAGAAACCCCTGTGACAGATTTGTCTGAGGGTTGTCATAAGTCAGAAATGATAGCACACAACAGCAACAACTGTGAATCAGCATCGATATTTACAGGCATGTTAGAGCATCACCATGCGTCCTCAGCTGGAATTTCAAGCACTGAAGCCATCCATGTGTTCTGAGTCAGGAAATAAATCTTTATTCATTTCATTCTAACACATTGGAATTAATAAAATTCTTCCAGTTGGATGATGTTATTTTTTTCCCATTGGGCTGGGAGGGAGGTACATATTGGGACAAAAGGGAGATAGGAACAAACTAAGAATTATGAATGCAACAGTACAATGGCTTGTGTGGAAAGATAAAGAAAATTACTACAATGACCAATGCAGAGAAATAGAAGACAAAAACAAAAAGGGAAGAACAAGAGATAAGTGCTATGGTCGTATAGTTGCTGCAGTCTCTCGTGTCTCCTTTTTTGTGGATGGGGATGTATATTGATCGATTCCAATCTGTTGGCCATCGTTTTGTTTTCCATATCTGTTGACATATGTTGGTCAGCACTGAAGGTGACATTGTCAATGTGGATTGCACCAGTTCAACTGGAATATCGTCTTTTCTTGGTGATTTCTTTTTCACTATTTCTTATTATTATTATTATTATTATTATTATTATTATCATCATCATCATTATCATTATCATTATCATTATCATTATTATTATTATTATTATTATTATTATTATTATTATTATGCTGCCTCTCTGCAGTGCAATCGAGGCGGTGTACAGCAGATTAAAACAACATTACAAGTTAAAACAGTCAAACAACCCCTTCCCTAACCCACCCACCCCTTAAAAATATATTAAACTATAGCAAGATTAAAATACTAAATAAAAGAAAACAACACAGTACAAATAAATAGCAGCTTAGCAACAAAAGAGCTGGAAACATTGTCATCTCCTTATACTGTTCTTTGGGCCGGGATGTTATTCAGGGAAGGCCTGCCGGAAGACAACTGTCTTTACTGCTTTTTAAAAGCAGTCAAGAGTAGTAGTAAGACGGATCTCATCCAGGAGGCCATTCCATAATCTGGGGGAGAGAAGGTCCTCTGGGAGGTTGCCGACAGTCTGGTCTTTATGGGCTGTAACAGATTCCTCCCAGAGGACCAAAGTGCCCGGGGAGGATCGTAGGGAAGGAGGCGGTCCCAAAGATAAGTTGGACACAAGCCATGTAGGGCTTTAAAGGTCAAAACCAACACCTTGTACTGTGCTCGGAAACTAATAGGCAGCCAGTGGAGAGATTTCAGCACTGGTGTAATGTGCTCTCTCCTAGATGTAAGTAACCTGGCTGCCATATTTTGAACTAATTGAAGTTTCCAAGTTAAGCACAAGGGTAGCCCCATGTAGAGCGTGTTACAGAAGTCCAGACGTGAGGTTACCAGAGCACAGTTTCGAGATCCCTACTCTCCAGGAAAGGACGCAGCTGGCATATCAGCCGAAGCTGATAACAGGCACTCCTGACCGTTGCATTCACCTGATTTGTCATGTGAAGCGACAAATCTAGGCATACCCCCAGGCTGCAAACACAGTCCTTGGAGGAGACTTATTGCAGTTTCCACTTCATTTTTTAGAATTTGGGGTTCATTTTCATATGGCTCTTCATTCCATGTGTCCTTCATTTTTGGCATCTCTTTTGTATAATTCTTCCATGTATTGCATCCAACATCTTTTTATTCCTTCCTGGTCTTGAATTATGTTATTTTTATTGTCATAGAGCATCCCAGTCCTTGGTTTGAATTTTCCTTTGATTTCTCGGATCTTGTGAAATGGAAACCCAGTGGGTTTCCATGACTGAGCAAGGATTCAAACCCTGGTTTCTGGAAGAGGGGACTGTAAATAGGACAAGTGGGTGCTTTATTGGGTTGCTCAGCCCATCTTCTCGCATATGTATGACAGCTGAGATTTCCGAAAACCAGAGGAATTATGGTCTGAAGCTAAGGACATAATAGTAGAAGAATGAAGACAGACACTTTCAATAAACAAAAAGAAAGAAGGAAAAAAACCCATGATAGAATTGCTTTACAGTCAACCTTCAGCACCTTGGTCTCCAGTGCTGCAGAAATCCTTCACTCAGGACAGGCTTTTAAGGGAACACAATAGTTTGTATGATTCCGACTTTTGTGCTGAGTTGTATGTCTTTGCATTTTAGAATCTTTTCTAGTTCTTTCATAGCCACCTTCCCTATTCTTAATCTTCTCCTGATTTCCTGGCTGTAGTCCCCATTTCTATCAATGTTCAATCTTCTATCATGAGAAGAGAGGACTCTTTGGGAAAGACAATAACACTGGGAAAGGTGGAGGGAAGTAGGAAGAGAGGAAGGCCCCATGCTAGATGGATGGATTCTATTAAGGAGGTCACTTTGGGTATTAAGGGGATGCAAGAATTAAGCAGAGCAGTGGAGGGTCTTGGAGATGTCTCATCCATAGCAAGGGCAGTTAACAAATTTCCTTTGCATTTCTCAGACTTTGCTGCCACCTAGCGCTTTTATGTGATGTCTACAATGAAGGGCTCTCTCATGTAAGACACATGGTGTATCCCCACTTCATAATCACAGTCAGCCCTCCACATTTGTGGCTTTAATTTTTGTAGATTTGACTATGGACATTGACCATAGAGTCACATTGGACAACCTAGAGAGGGAACATGTGACTGATGTCCAGTAAAGTAGGTTTGGGGTAGTTACGATTGGGGCAATAGTGTCAGAATTGTGAGTAGCAATCAAGAATACAAAATTGTTACCTGGTTTTTGCTTATCCATAACTGTTTTGCATTCATGACCACTACTTAGTCACATCTGTGACACTAGTCAACTATATTTTACAAGACATCAGCTGCATAATCAAACTTTTAAACAATAAATTGTCCAATGCTTATTCTGAGCACGGCTTCTGTATAAATTGAATTATTTCTTCTCCATCAGCTCGGCCTTAAACTTGGTTTGTGTTCAGGCCAAGCCAAATAGATATCTGACAATACAGAGAAATTTCCCATACAATTCCTGACCCCACCATTCAGTGTACAAACCTACCTGATATCTGGCTTCGTGTACAGCACATGGTGTACTGCTAAACAGTGTGACAGCTGCTTCTCCTCTCTATTCCTGCACCCATTGTATACAGTTTCACAAGCAGATGGTCATGCATTGTTGTACCACACAGCATCACCACCTCAAGACACTGTCAAAGGCCTCTGAACATCCAGTATGTTGAATCATGCAAAGCTAGGATGATGATGGTAAGTGTATTCCCCCAACTGTATGATGGGAGTATTTTTGCTCTCCTCAAGCCATTGGCCAAATGCAACATCAAGATGTGTCATGATGCTTGATGTCAGGCTGGGCTGCTTTAGGCAATTTAAACCAGCAATGCCATAATGTTGGCCTCTTCACCATTTTTGCTCCCCACCTTCCCACCGCTATGTAACATGGGAAGTTCCATTTCCCTTTGGGGGCTGAGCAGGATTATTATTTTTTCTCTGCCTGATAATGCTCCAGGTTTTGGATCATGGTTCTTCTGATTCATGATCATGATCAGTTAGGCTTAATAGTGCAAAAGTATTCTTTACATAGTATTTATATTCTTCAGGGATGTTCTTTAGATTGTATTTTGGCACTGTCATTGATTTCATGCCCTTCTTTAGCTGTACTCTAAAAAAAAAAAAAAACGTTTGCAGCTCCTATTCCATGTCATGTTTCCCTTCTAGTCTTGTGTTTTCAGTGAAAATGGAACTCAGTTTGCACAGAAGAGCATCCTGCAGGATTCTACCTTCTGGGTCATCTCTGTCCCTGATTCCCCCTGTCATCCTAAGTCCACTTTCTGAGATGACCCTCTGTGCAAGACCACATCCCTGACCAGTAAGAACAGTACAACAGTAAGAAACTAGGCCAGACCACTTGAGATGCATCTGCCAGATGTTTCTGTTTATTCTGCCCTCTGGAAGCCCTGGTCAAGGCTAAGGTGGGGCAAGTGATGCCCTTCTGCCATGATCATGCCATTGGTCAAGTATCGCAGTGGTGGAGGAGGTGGAGGCCCCACAGACTGGTCCCTGGGAACCTCATACCATGTAGGGGGAGGGAGTTCATCTTCTGGCACCATGGAAGAAACAAGATTTCCCATCAGGCGGTGGT